CGCCGGCGTTGGTTTCGCCCCGCTGGTTTCGCCGACGCGAGCCCCGACGGGGGGTCGGGCGGGCGGACCCTGGCGGGCGGGTCGGGTCGGGTCGGGCGGCCGGACCCTGACGGGCGGGTCGGGTGGGGCGGGCGGGACATTAAAGTGTGGGGCGCGCTCGACAGAGCACGCGCGAGCCCGAACGGGCAGGTCGGGTCGGGCGGGACCCCAGCGTGCGGGTCGGGTGGGGCAGTTTCGCCGACGGCAGCTGGTTTCGCCGCCGGCAGCTGGTTTCGCCGACGGAGCTGGTTTCGCCGACGGGGCTGGTTTCGCCGGGCGGCGAAACCAGCCGTCGGCGAAACCAGCGGTCGCCGTGGAGATCCCCCGGACAAAGAAGCCTCCAAGGCGGACGGCCCAAGCACAGAGAGCACAAGGATACCTCCTCCTCCTCCTCCTCCTCCTCTTATCCAGTGCCTCCCGAAGGCCAGGGCAGTCCGCAACCCTCGTGTCAGCTGTGCTCCCGCCAGCCGCCTTCCTGCTGCTGCCGTCTCTCGCCTCCGCGCTTTTGCACCCCCGCTTCCGCCCCCTTTCCAGAGGAGCCAGCCCCATCAGTGATCCGTAGGCTGGAGGCGACAGATGTCTTCTCCTCTGGCACGCAGAGGGTGTTCACCCATGCCGACACCTGGTCCGAAAGGACATCGGACGAGGAGAGGAGGTACGGTGAGGGTATTGGGTGAAGAACCCTTAGATCAGGACTCCACGGTCTGAGCATCCATTGGGGGCCTGGCCATGGAGATCGCCGCCGCCCTCATGGGACAAGGAATCCTTCAGGGTCTGAAGCCTCCTGGGCACATTCCTTAACGAACTCCCCACCCGTAGTTAAAAGAAGATGCACGAACAAAAAGAAACCAAACGGTACTGATACCGCGACTCTCCCCCGACCTCCTCCTGGGGTGCGTTCCGATCAGGATTTCAAGGCGAATCCAGCGGTGGCGACGAGGGCCTCCCAGGAGGCCCAAACAAGGGGGACAACGAGGGAAGGGTAGCGGTATGGGTACATTTTTCTCCTCTGAGCACCGCCACTCGCGTGACCCTGCCGCTGTGACCAGCGCGTCGCCGAGCGAGCGCTCGCGGAGGAGAAGCGGGGAGCGGGACGACGTCGGCCTCTGAAGGCTCCCAAGGGGGTTCTCGGGAGTCTCCAGGGCTCTCTGGGGGCCTCGAGGGCTCTCCAGACGCTTCGCAGGAGCCTCCATGACGCCAGGGGCGTACAGGCGAGCACTGGAGGAGGGCCAGGGTGCACCCAGGATGTGCCAACGATGCTGCAATACACCCTTCCGCCCCAAGCCCCTACGATTGGGTCGGGCATGTCCCCCATACAGGCGGGTTTTGGGCAAACCAATAATCACAAGTATCTAAACATGGTCAGAACATGCTCGAAAAATCGGCCCCAGACTATGTTTGAACTATGTTTGAATATTTCTCCTGCACAAGGACAGGCCCGACTTCACCCTACGAGCACGCTCCCTACGAGCATCGCCCCCCCCCACCCACCCACCCAAAACGACGAGCGACCCCGTGGGCCTGCCACTCAGGCGAGACCTCGCTCTTCCCTGAGCAGCAGCTAACCTACTCTCCTACGCATCATCAAAGTCAAGCTGTATGAATTCTCCACCCTCCTAATCCATCAATATAACTCTCCATCCATGACTAAGACTAATCACTCATCACAATACTAAGGACCTTCCTCCAGACCAGATCCTCCAGGCGATCTCATAATCCTGCCAGTACACTGCATACTAATAAGCCTCACTATCCTACCCTCCTCCTGATCCTCCCCATCCTCCCGCCCGCTCCCTCCTGCCGACTCTCCAGCGACTCCTCGTCCTCCAGACAGCCTCCTCCTCAACCTCCGCCTGGACATCAAGCCTCACAAAACCCTCCAGGCTCCTCCTCCACGCCTCATCTCCTCCTCCTGCCTCCTACCTCCTCATCCCTCCTCCTAATCAGTCCTCCCCTCCTGGCCTTCCCATTCCCCCCCCACCTCATCCTCCTCATCCTCCCTCCTTCCTTTTTTTTCCTCCCTCCTCCTCCTCCTCCTCCTCCTCCTCCTCCTCCAGGCCTCCAGGCCTCCAGGCTTCCAGGCCTCCTCCAAGACTCCTCCTCCTCCTCCTCCGCCTCCTCCGGGCCTCCATGCCTCCAGGCCTCCTCCTCCTCCTCCTCCACCACCAAGGCTCCGTACAATCACCCCAACGCCCGGTGGGGGATACAGTGGAGGCCAGTCCACAGGAAACCTGTCACAAAAAAATCCAACCCTGAGACCCCAGGACGTCCATGGATTTTTGGTGTGGGAACGTCACGCCTTCCACAGCAAGCCCATCGAAATCAACGGAGCGCAGGGCACCCTGGAGGCAGGCAAATGGTTTCTCGGCATGGGTCTCCACTGTACGCTGGGCTTCGGCGGCCCGTCGCGCCCCCCCTGTGGTGCCCCCTCCCGCGTTGTCCGTGCAGTGCTGTTTGGGGTCTTCTACCGCAGGGCTGTCATGCAAAACATCCGCCCTCGATGCTTCCAGCCGTGCGACAGATCAGAGGCCTCCTGGATGGGGTCGGAGAAGATGTGGTCGGAGGATCGCGCCGCATAGACTGTACATCCGCGACGTATCGGCGATGCATCGGCGATACACTGGCAGTGTTGGTGATGCACTGGCGACGTCGGCGTGGAGACACTCGGGCTCCACATCGAGCCGCATCGCCGATGCATAGTCGATGCGGCGCGATCCTCCGACCCCGTCTACTCCGACCCCATCTGGGAGGCCTGGAGAGATTAAGTTGAACATGGGGGGGGCCAGGAAGTGAATGGGGGGGGGTGGCGCATGATGCCCGAAGCGGGTGCGCGGACGAGTGGGGTCAAGGGACGTCTTGAGAGAAGAAGAGGGGCCGTGAAACCTGATATACTAGAGGCCTCCTGAATGGGGTCCGACTAGATGGGGTCGGAGAATCGCGCCGCATCGCCGTGCATCGGTGATGCATCGGCGACGTGGGCGATGCATCGGCGACGTCGACGTGGAGAAAATCGGGCTCCACATCGAGCCACATCGCCGATGCATTGGAGATGAGGCGCGATCCTCCGACCCCATCTACTCGGACCCCATTCAGGAGGCCTAGAGATACATCTTGGCCCTGACCATGATGTCCACCTCCCCCCAGTCCTCACCCACCTCTTGGACGCCCCCGGTCCTCCCATCTCACAAAGAAAATTGGGGCTCAGGAGCGCCCCCACCTCCGAACTGCGAACCTCCAGCGAACCCGCCGCTCCGCGCGCGACGTCCCCCCCTTGCGCTGTCCGGGCGCCCCCCCTCGCGACGGACCTCACTTCACCTTGGAGCGCCCTCGGAGCTCCAGAGCGAGATCTGCCGCCGAGGCTGCTGACCAACCCCGAGCGCAGGAAGGGAGCCCAAGCCCACTTCGGGTCGGAAGAGGGAGGGGGTAGCTCAAGGGCCTTTCATGGGCGGGTTAGCGAAGCAGCTTTCACGCAGCTGGAGGAAAAGGGCCCAGCGGCGGGGCCGAAACCAGCTGCGTGCAGATTTCGTACCCCCCCAACCTTTCCCTATCCTCCCTCTTGTCTTAGGTCGGGCATGTCCCACTACAGGCGGATTTTGGGCGACAAATTATAAATAACCACAAATGCAACACATATTCAAAACATTGTCCCCAGACTATTTCTTGACTATTTTTTATTTTACTCCTGTAGAAGGACATGCCCGACTTAACTCTTGTCCGAACCGTCACTTCCCTCCCCCACCCCTCAGATCCTGGGCGCCACAGAGATCGGGCTGGCAAGAGGTGGCCCTGGGGTGGCCTTTGGTGCGCGGCGTCAAGGGGGTGCAACCCCAGGCGCGCAAGCTGCTGCTCTCGCATCGCGTTCGGGGATCGGGAGGCCTCAGTGGGTCCGCACCCAAAGATCAGTCTGCCGAAATGTCACTCTCACGTGCAGTCGAGGTCGTCAAGCAGAGGAGGAGGAGGAGGAGGAGGAGGAGGAGGAGGAGGAGGAGGAGGAGGAGGAGGAAGACCGGGAGGAGGAGGAGCAGATGGAAGAGGAGGAGGTTCTTTAGTAGTATTATTATTTATTCTTATTCTTCGTCGATCTCCGATGAATAGGATTATTGATGACTAGGGGGGGAGGAGGAGAAGGAGGAGCCCAGGAGAGGACGAACAACTCCAGGGAGCCGCCGTGGTCTCGAAACTGGCCCTCCTCCGCGTGTCCCTGGATGGTTGGCGTCCGCCGATGGCCGAGGAGGGCGTGAGTGTGACCTGCGCGCCCCCCGGCCCAAGCGGCCGCCGCCACGGCCGCTGCTGTGCCGCCGACGGTGAGACGCACTGGCCCAGTGAGGGCGTTTCTCAAGGGGCCCCAGGACACACAAATGAATACACACAAATACAAGGATTCCCACTGTTTTCCTATATTTTCTGGGTTTCTGTCTTCCCCCCCACTTCCCATATTTTCCTGTATTTTCCTGAGAGTTGACGATTCATTGTGTCTGTGTATTTTTTCCCCTCCTGAGTTTCCCGAGCCCGCAGCCCAGACAGATCCCACGACCCCTGTAGAGGTCGACGTGGTGCAAGCGACCTTGGACTTCGGACCGAGCGCGGAACGAGGGCTCGCAGCCTCGTGCCACCTTTTTAATCGGCGCCTGCCCCGATAAATCATTGGTACGCAGCCGCGTGTGCACGGGATGAGCGGAGAGGCGGCAGGTGGGGAGGGAGGGCCAAAGGAGCGGAGCCCGGGGGAGACAGAGAACATTCTGCGAATGCAGGCCATACGGCATTCGATGGCAAGCTGCGAGGCCCCGCAGGCTGCCGGCAAGGCGTGCGAGCCGCCACGAAGAGCCCAACCTAGAATCGCGATGTGCCTCTCCCTCCGCTGCCGCCCACGGAACCAGCGGTGCCAAACATGACCCCAGCCGAGGAAGGCGGCGGGCGCGCGTCCTGGCTCAGGAGCTACTACTGCGCTTGCGACCCTTGTCCTTGTCCTTGCCCTTGCTCTTCTCCTTGTCCTTCTTGCGCTTGCGGCTGCTGCTGCTACTGCTGCTCTTGCGGCGCCTGCCGCGGCTGGGGCTCTTCTTCCTCTTGCCGCGGCTGTCGCTCCTCTTTCCGCGGCTCGGGCTCCGTCTGCCGCGGCTGCGGCTCCTCTTCCTGTCGCGGTCGCCGCCCCCGCCCCTCAGGCGCTGCATGAACAGCTCGCGGCTGCCGACCTCCGCGTCCCGGGGCTCCCGCGAGACCAGGGGGGGGCCCCGCCGGGTGCTCTTCTGGGCGGTGAGCGTCATCCCGTCCACGATGGCCGAGGAAGAGAGCACGGCGTGAGCAGAAGCTCGCGGCGCCCCGCGCGGATGCCTCGGGTCGGCGCAGGGTGTCCCCCCCTTCCCCCCTGCGCGCGGGGCGCGCCGCCTGGCACGGGCCCGCCGGCCGATCCAAGAAGTCCGCGCGGAGTTCCTGGCCTCTGTGTGCTGTGCCGTGCTCCCCTCTTCGGGATGATCTCGCCGCGCTGGATGGCCTCCACCGCGGCGTCCGCGGCGGTGCTGCTCGCGAATCTGACCCAGGGCGGCTCCGCCTTGGGGTTATCGCGGTTCCCCATGTGGCAGACGTCCACGTGCCCGAAGCGCTCCATCTCCCGCTTGAGCACCATGCGCGTGGTGGTGGCGCCGCATCCGCCCGTGAACTCGATGGTGTTCGACATGGGGAACGACTACCCCCAGATCTCCGACGACATGCTTTTCCCAACCATCCTGTGGTGTTGGGTCCTCGTTGTGAAGAGACAGCGCCCCACGTTCTCCTCCTCTTCCTCTCCTCCCCCCCTCCTCCCTCCTCCCATGCGTGCCTCTGCCCTCCTCCTCCTCCTCCTCCTCCTCCTCCTCCTCCTCCTCCTCCTCCTCCTCCCCTTCTTCCCTCCTCCCAATGCGTTTTTTCAATCTGGGCGGCTTTTCCCGATTGACCTGCGAGGGCCGCCGTCGGGCCCTGCGGCCACAAGCGTGGATGCGGGGCGAACGCGACCCCCAGGCAAGGGGGGTCGGGACCTCTGGGGCCTGGGGAGCTCTCCCTCCAGATCCCCTGCGCCACGCCAAGAGTCCCAATCAGGACGGGAAGCTTCCCGCCGTTTCTGGCTCCAGGGGGCCTTCACTGGGCCTCGGGGCCGTCAGCAAAAACGCGCCAGGATGAAACGCCAGTCCCGGGTAGGGGGCCCAGGCCTATGGAGGAGGAGGAGGAGGAGGAGGTGGAGGAGGAGGAGGAGGATGAGGATGATGATGATGATGATGAGGAGGAGGAGGAGGAGGAGGAGGAGGAGGAGCGAGGAGGCGGAGGAAGAGCGAGGAGGGGAAGGAGGCGGAGAAGGAGCAGGAGTAGAAGTAGGACCTGTGTAAACCCAAGAGTCATCAACGATGTTGGAATTAACCATCCCTCCAAGCTCCCTCTTCATAGGCCCTGCAACGGTTCATTTCCATTTAGGGAACTGCCTCGTTGGAAGACAACCGTTTGTAGATCCTGAAGCATGCCAAAACATTGTTCTCGGGATTTCAGCGCCTCGTATCAACCTGACGGCTGCGTTTTGGCGATTGGGAATCGCGCCATAATGCCATTTCTTGATTTCAACACCGCGCCTCCAGATAACTGTTGCACCCGCATAATCCTGAATCCTTCCAAAACACCAATTTCGGTACGCTGATTATGGACATCCGTAAAGCTCTGGCAAATGTTTAAAGCGAATGTGCGCGGCGCTAAGGTGAGAGCCACAGTTTGAAAAGGAACCGCCCTCAATCAGTGAAACTCTTGCTTGCATTTTTCAAAAGAAATGCGCGCGGAGCTAAGGCGACAACCGCATTTTGAAAAGGAACCGCCCTCAATCCGTGAAGCTCTTGCAATTCTTGAAGCGGATATGCGCGGCGCTAAGGCGAGAACCACATTTAGAAAACGACCCGCCCTCAATCCGTGAAGCTCCTGCGAATTTGTAAAACGAATGTGCGCGGCGCTAAGGCGAGAGCCACATTTTGAAAACGATCCGCCCTCAGCCCGTGAAGCTTTTGCAAGTTATAAACAGTGTGCGCGGCGCTAAGGCGAAAACCACACTTTGAAAACCAGACGAGCTCAATCCGTGGAGCTCTTGCGTTTTTTACTAGAAGTGTGCGCGACGCTAGGGCTACAACCACATTTTGATAACGACCCGCCCTCAATCCGTGAAGCGCTTGCCAATTTTGAAAAAAAAAAGAAAGTGCGCGGCGCTAAGGCGAGAGCCACATTTTGAAAACCGCCCGCCCTCTATTTGAGAAGCTGTTGTCTCTCGTCATCGTCGTCGTCGTCGTCGTCGTAGTAGCGGTAGTCGTAGTCGTAGCCGTCGTGGTCGTAGTAGTAGTAGTAGTAGTAGTAGTAGTAGTAGTAGTAGTAGTAGTAGTAGTAGTAGTAGTAGTAGTAGTCATAGTTGTGGTAGTAGTCGTAGTAGTATAGTTCTCCTTCGTACAAAAATGGGGGGGGGGACGGGGGTTGGAAGGGTAGTAGGAGGAGTATACTATCAGTCGTAGTAGTAGCATTAGCAGTATTAGTAGTAGTAGTAGTAGTATCGAGTAGTAGTAGTAGTAGTAGTCGTAGTAGTCGTCTAGTAGACAGAAAGTAGTAGTAGTAGTAGTAGTATAGTGAAGTAGCTGTATAGTAGTCGTAGTGGTAGTCGCAGTTTTGTATAGTAGTAGTAGTAGTAGTAGTAGTAGTGGTAGTAGTAGTAGTAGTAGTAGTAATAGTAGTAATAGTAGTAGTAGTAGTAGTAGTAGTAGTAGTAGTAGTAGTAGTAGGTCGTAGTAGGTCGTAGTAGGTAGTCGTAGCAGTAGTAGTATCGTCTCAGTAGTTGTGGGAGTCGTGGTTAGAGTAGTAGTAGTAGTAGTAGTAGTAGTAGTAGTAGTAGTACATCGGCCCAATGAAAGTTCCTGGAATTTTCATCGCGACGCTGGCCGGCGGAAGTCGACGGAAGTAAAACGAGGCGGAAGACGGGGGAAGGCCGCCGGAAGGCTTGCCAGTGTCAGCGGAAGTAAACGACGCCCCTGCCGAACCCCCTACCCCCGTAGAAGCCTAGCAATGTTGTCTTCCTCCGTGGGCCGGGCGGGATCCCGCCTGGCTTATTCCGCTTTAATATTTTAAGTTTAGTTCAGGGCGATCAAAATCCCACCCATGAAAAATGGGGTAGACCAAAATCCCGGGCCGTTCACGGATCCCACCATGCTGGGATCGGCTCGAAGTAAGATGGTGCTCATAAGTTGTTGTATTATTGCCGCGTTGGGATCGTCTTGAGGTCATCTTGAGATCATATCCTGGTCATGTCTGGATCACGCAACCATCGCGTGGTCATTATGAGGCCACCCTGGGTGCGCTTGGATCAGGACTGTTGCCATCGGGCCATCTCGGCGTCACGCGTCGCTCATGTGTTTCGTCATCTGCGAGTCGGCCTGAGACGGTCCAGAATCCATGGCGGGATCGCGTTGGGGTGGCATCATCCTGGGTCCACTGGGCGTTATTGTCCGTGGCCTGAGGCATTCCTGGAAGCATGCTGTGGCCATGGGACGTCTTGGGATCGCGTGCGTGCGAACGCTGATCTCGCGCGCGCGACTTTTCATCTTGCCGACGGGTTTACATACATATTATTCCTCTTGCGAGTTTCCAAGGAAACTTTCGTTGGGGCCAAGTAGTAGTAGTAGTAGTAGTAGTAGTAGTAGTAGTAGTAGTAGTAGTAGTAGTAGTAGTAGTAGTAGTAGTAGTAGTAGTAGTAGTAGAAGTATTAGAAGTAGTAGTAATAGTCGTAGTAGTTGTCGTAAGGGTTGTAGGAGTAGTAGTCGTAATAGTAGTCGCAAAAGTAATAATAGTAGTAGTCGAAGAAAGTGTCAGCAGGAGTAGCAGTAGCAGTAGAAGTAGTAGTAGTAATAGTAGTCGTCGTAGTAATGGTCGTCGTAATATCAGTTGTCGTAGTGGTAGTCGTAGTTTTAGTAGTGGTTCTAGTAGAAGTAGCAGCAGCAATAGTAGTAGTAGTAGTAGTAGTAGTAGTAGTAGTAGTAGTAGTAGTAATGGTAGTCGTACTAATCGTAGAAGTAGTAGAAATAACACAAGTAGTAGTTGTAGTCGTAGTCGTAGTCGTCGTCGTCGTCGTAGTAGTAGTAGTAGTAGTAGTAGTAGTAGTAGGTCGTAGTGGTAGTAGACGTAGTAGTACTAGCAGTCGTAGTAGTAGGGGTCGTAGTAGTAGTAGAAGAAGAAGTAGTAGTAGTAGTAGTAATAGTAGTAGTAGTAGTAGTAGTAGTAGTGGTGGTAGCACTAGTAGGTAGTAGTAGGTAGTAGTAGTAGTAGTAGTAGTAGTAGGTAGTAGGTAGTAGGTAGTAGGTAGTAGGTCGTCGGTCGTAGGTAGTAGTAGTAGTAGTAGTAGTGGTAGTAGTAGTAGTAGTAGTAGTAGTGGTAGTAGTAGTAGTAGTAGTAGTAGTAGTAGTAATCGTAGTAGTATTAGTAGTAGTAGCAGTAGTAATGGCAGTAGTAGTCGTAGTGGTAGTAATACTCGTAGTCGTAGTCGTAGTAGTAGTAGTAGTAGTAGCAGTAATAGTGGTAGTAGTAGTAGTAGTAGTAGTAGCAATAATAATAGTAGTAGTAGTAGTCGTAGTAGTAGTAGCAGTAGTAAATTGTAGTAGTAGTAGTCGTAGTAGTCGTAGTAGTAGTAGTAGTAGTAGTAGTAGTAGTCGTACTAATAAGTAGTAGTAGTAGTAGTAGTAGTAGTAGTAGTAGTAGTACAAATCGTAACAGTTGTAGTAGTAGCAGTAGTAGTTGTTGTAGTAGTCGTCGTCTGACGTAGTCGTAGTAGTAGTAGTAGTAGTAGTAGTCGTAGTCGTAGTTGCCGCCGCAGTAGTAGTAGTAGTAGTAGTAGTAGTAGTAGTAGTTGTAGTAGTAATCGTAGTGATAGTAGTAGTAGTAGTAGTAGTAGTAGTAGTAGTAGTAGTAGTGGTAGTAGTAGTAGTAGTAGTAGTAGTAGTCGTCGTAGTATAGAAGTATAGAAGTAGTCGTGCTCGTAGTAGTACTCGTAGTCGTAGTAGTAGTCGTATGAGTAGTAGTAGTAGTAGTAGTAGTAGTAGTAGTAGTAGTACTAATAGTAGTAGTAGTAATAGTAGTAGTAGTAGTCGCATTCGTCGTATGAAGTATACAACACAGCAAAAGAAGAGTAAGAGGAATACCCGTAGACGTCGTAGTAGTAGTAGTAGTAGTAGTAGTAGTAGTAGTACGAGGGGTAGCAGTAATAGTAGTAGGTAGTAGTAGTAGCAGCAATAGTAATAGTAGTAGGGGAGCAGCCGTAGTAGCAGGAGTAATAACAGTAGTAGTACTAGTGGTAGCCGTAGTAACAGTAGTCGTAGTGGTAGCCGTAGTAACAGTAGTCGTAGTCGTAGTGGTAGTAGTAGTAGTTGTTCTAGTCGTAGTGATAGTCGTGGTAGTAGTAGTAGTAGTAGTAGTAGTAGTAGTAGTGGTGGTAGTACTCGTCGTATTATTATTATTCGTATTCGTATTCGTATTCGTAGTAGTAGTAGTAGTAGTAGTAGGTCGTAGTAGTAGTAATAGAAGTAGTGGTAGTGTTGGTGGTGGTGGTAGTAGTACTACTACTAGTGGTAGTAGTGGTAGTGGTAGCCGTACTTGTAGTAGTAGTGGGGTTCGTAATGACAACCGTAGTAGTAGTAG